GATCATGACCTAAGCGAAAGTCGGACGCTTAACCGACTAAGCCACCCAGGCGCCCCTCATGTGATTCTTTTAAATGTGGATCATATCAGTGTTGATTTCAAGTGGTTAGTTAAAACTCAAACTGTTACAGTAAGCTCTGGTGTGTTATCTAAGCCCTCAGGGCCTGAGACTTGGATTTATTCTAGTATTGCCGGTGTTTGTTGAAGTCACTAAAAAATATACTTTGGATATTTGAAAGTGTTTGGTTGGGTAAGAGAAAACAAAGAATTCCTTTGTAATAGTCAGCAATAACTTCTCATTTGGGGCTCTTCTAATAAGCGAAGCACCAGATATGAACCTGGCCCAAATTTGGGCCTTCGATAGCTTGGGCTCCTCTGTATCTGAGCCGTGACCACTGGAAGAATTAAGAACTGCACCATGGATTTGTCATTTATTGTGTTCCACAAAATGCTTCTATATGGACTCTTTTTTTCTGAAAGTCCACTCCACCATTGACATGGGTGCCAGAAGAAGCTGGCATGGAAGATGCCAGCCTTAGAGGCCTGGAGAAGTGCCAATTCCTTATATTAAGGGTCTTGTAACCATAGCCAGGAGCCCACAGACCAGCATCAGCAGGGTCGCCGTACTGTGTTTGAAATGCGGAATAGCGATCGTACAAAACTGCAAAAGAGCACTGTGGGTAACAAACCTAGACTGGCACGAGGTGAGGTGGCTTATCCAGTATTTTGGAAGTCTGGAGGGTTTTTGACACACCACGGACCTCTGCGTTTAAACAGTAGAGAAGTAGAAACTTGACTAAAAGCCATTCTAGGAGAAAAAACAGTCCCTCCTCCCCTGCTCACACCCTAGAAGTCAACATTTAAGGCTCAGAGGGGAAGGTCTTTGAGTATTTGATGGGGGCCCATGGACACAGAGGTGGTGGGGAGTGGTGGGAAAGGACCGGAAGGAATCGAATCAGGTAGCACATGAGTTAGAAGGCTCATGGGGGAAAGATTTTAGGAAATGGCTCGTGAGATTTTAACGACTTTCAACTAGTACATGTATAGGCTCTAAATTTGAAAAGGATTAAGTAAGTTTTCTTTGTCCCGTCCTCAGTCTAGAGATGGTGGTTGCTGCAGGCTGAACTACCTGTGTTTCCTTCCAGAGATCTGTATAATTGTACACGTGTGGGCTTGTGCTTTCACACACAGCGTTGGTTTTCTCTGAATAAATCTTGACCAGCAGTTCACAATCATACAGATCAAACCATTCTTTGGACCACTTCCACGTAGTGTATGCTGTTGTACACGTGCACTACATCATTTAACATTCCGCTGAGGACTCTAGCTTTATAAATAATTCCCCAGCATCCTTGTGCAGCCTTGCAGGCACACCCGCAGGATAAAATCAAAAGAGCCTAGAAGTAGAGTTGGTATGAAGGGTACGTCCACTTACAACAGTACAGCCACCCTGTTCTTCAGAGAGAACCCACGGGCAGTGTGCTCAAAGGTGTCTGCTGCTTGATCTCTGCTAACCTGACTGGGAAGGATGACCCATGGAAGGTTTAGCACGCCCATCCCTTAAGTTAAGGGTGACTGTGTGAGGCATCAGAGTTCATGTCCTTTGCCCCTTCTTCTGTCAGGGTGCCAGTCTTCCTGATTTGCAGGAGCTCATCCTTCATTAATGAAATGAGTCCTTTGCCTCCCACTGCAAATCTCTCCCTAGCCTGGTCTTCTAACGCCTTTGTGGTGCCATGTAGATATTTTTCTACATATCAAATTTTTGTGACTTTACGTGACTGTAGAAAGGACTGCCTACTTTGTCCATGTGTGTAAATCCATGTTTCCCTAAAACCCTTAGGGTTTTGTTCTCTTATACTTAAGTCTACTTCGTCCTTCTAGATCTTAGTTCAGCACAAGACAGGGAGCCACTTTATTTATTTTTTAGAATCTAGATAACTATGCACTTGTCTAGACATTTTCTCTCTCCTTTTTCTCTCTCCTTTATCATATGCTGAATCCCCTTATGTGTTAGATTTTATTTCTAGATTTTAAAAATTCTGTTCCATCAGTTTATCTTTTTATTCCAATGCCACGTTGTTTCGATTATTGTGGCTTTGTAATATCTCTAATGGGGCTAGTAGGTACATTGTTCTTGTTTCTCATAACCCTTCTGACCCTTCCTGCCCCTCCTCCCATGTGAACCCTACAAATTTGCAATCTAAAACAGATTCTAACTGAACCGGGTTTAGAGATTTAAAAATCTATGAGAAGTCTCCCCTTCTCTCCCCAGTGCCTTTCTGGAGGAGGGATGATGGCTCCCTTCAGAGTCTCACTGGTTTTAACTATTCCTCCTGTAAGAACCACTGTTTTAAAGGTGGCAATAGTCTTGCCTTTAATTTAGAAACCTTTTGTTCCCCCAAAACTCCTTTAAAAAGGGGGGGGAGGGCATGAGTCAAAAGTCATTCCTATAGTTATTTTCCTCTGCAGCCTTTTCGAGGTTCTTCTCAGAGGTGTTCGTACAGTAAATTGTTCCTTCTCTTCCAAGTACTGACTCAACTGCCACCCCTCTGTCTCTGGGACTTCTGCTACCTTGTAAACATGAGACTCGGAAGCACAATAACAGGTGAGACACAAGGTAGAGCAAAGTGTGTTTTCATCGGTAGGTCAGCATACCCATCACAAAGTTGTGTTACCAGGTCACAGGTGGTTTAGCAGTGGCTCCAAGCAAAGCTAGAGCCGTGCCTTTCTGCAGGCACCCGGACTGACCTATGCAGCACCCTGTGTGGTAGGCACAGTGTACCGGATGCTGATCACTGAGGGGCCACAAAGAACCAAATGTATGGAGAACACATTAAAAAGGTGTCCCAAATCTGACTTGAAGCCAAATGCTGGCCACCATAACCACTGAGTATTTCATCACAAATATTTCTCGTTATCCTTAACCTAGGAGCACTTGGGTAGAGTGATCTAGGTAGCCTAGGGCTTTTTAACACTGTCCAAACAGGTTTGAAGGGAAACTTTCATCTGCCTGTTGGCAAGTATTGTCCTGTAGCAGGTGCAAGAGCGCTCATCCCCGATGGGTCTTCCTAGAGCCTGCTCAGGTCACGTGGCCACCCCTCCTCTTGCCAGCCAAGCAGATCGACCCCTTCACCTAAAGCCTGTGCTGTAGCTTGAGTGGTACATGATGGCCAGACTGGACAACTTGCTAGGTCTTGGCTGCGTGCCACCTTCTGCTCCTAAATCCCCAGCCCAGGGCCCTTGTTGCCTTTTGAACTCTTTATTTTTTTTTAAATTTTTAAAAGTTTTATTTCTGTGAGAGAGAGAGACAGCATGAGCAGGGGAGGATCAGAGAGAGAGGGAGGTACAGAATCCGAAGCAGGTTCTAGGCTCTGAGCTGGCTGTCAGCACAGAACCCGACGCGGGGCTCGAACTGACAAACCATGAGATCATGACCTGAGCTGAAATCGGACACTTAACTGACTGAGCCACCCAGGCGCCCCACCTTTCTGAACTCTTCTGTGGCCTTCTTGTCCTCCCCAATCAAGGGGCACTCCTTTCTTCTGCCCGTATGTTCCATTTTCTTTCTACCACATACTGCCTTCTCTTGCTGTGTTGTTTGCACCCACCTTCTTCGTGGCCAGCTCCTGGGCAGCTGGTCTCAGTGTGTCCAGTGGCATTCCCCCAAAAGTGAGTGACAACCACCCCATTGATCTGAGCAATTGTAGAAGGTGGAGATTCCTGGCACGGCACAAGGCTAAAAATCCACCCATGTTGGAACCCCAGGACCGTGCGTGGCGGGTATGCATTCAAAAGCAGTGGTCTCCAAACCATAAAACTTCAGAAGTCACTGGGAGGGTTTCACGTGTGCCCCTCAGGTCAGGAAGGCGGTGGGGACAGGAAAACTGCTCTCACTGAGGTCCGAGGATAGCACCTTGACATTTTGTTTCTGCCCCTGTATCTGTCTAGCTAATATTTGACCCGTGTGGATCCCCAGGCACCTTGACTCTGAATACAGCAGTATTTGTTTTTACGTTAGGATTTCCGGGGATCTGTCATGTTTTATTTTCCGAAACGTGTAACTTGGTCGAAGATTACTCTGGTAACTGTGGTTCTCTCAAGTGAAGTGGGATGTGTTTCTCCTGGGACTGAGCGCTGACTTCATTCTCCTTAGGTAGCTTCCAGGTACGCAGTCTCAAAATCCGGTCAAAAGCTCACACTGCCCTGAGGGGGTGTCCCACACACAGGGGGCCCCTTTGCTGACAGGGCCGTTTGTCACAACGCTGACCCCAGCCTTTGTTGCCAGGACCTTTGTCATTCGGACTGCGCCTCGGTGTCCTACTCTGGATTACCGAGGTGCCATTCTAGGGTAGACTGCTCCCGTAAGTGAAAAGGGCCTGGGGTTCTTGCTCACAAGGTGTCTGTGTAGGTGGGTCCGGCGGCACTGATCTAACTTCCTTTCCCTGGTGTGGAGGCAGCCTGGAGGCGAGTCGTCCCCTCTCATGGAGTGCGGGAAGTCTTTCTTTGTGGGGTCTTGTGTTTGAGGTGTGGGGGTTGTAGCTTATTTATTAGCCAGTTCAAGGTGTAGTTAGTCATGCAAAAGCAGGCGAGGTCATTCTATAAAAAAAAAAAAAAAAAGAAAGCAAAAAAGTGAGGAAGATGAGCAGATCCTGTAAGCCCTCTACTGAGTCACCTTGTGTTTAGGGTGCTTTGTTTAACGAGTTTGTCCGCTTGCCTTCACACAAGCCACCCTCCCGCAGACAAGCCAGCCAGCCCCATGGCAAATGGAATTCTGAGGCATCCAGGGCGGGGAGAGGGTAGGTGTCGGTGTGCTCTGTCCCCAGTTGCGCAGGCAGCCCTCTCACATGGTGCTTAATCCTCGCCAACCCCCAGCAGGTGCCAGTTGTCGCTGTCACACGGGAAAGCGTTCAGAGATCAACCAGCACCTTCTCGGAGTCCCTCGGGCTGCGGGGCTGTGTACGAGTGAATCCTAACTCTGTGTCTCACTCCCTCGCTTTTCAGTTTCCCTGCAAGAACACCCCCCGAGATGGCAGAGGAGAGCAGCAGTGCCAGGGATTGCCTGTCCTTCAGCGTGCTCAGCTGGGATCAGGTCAGCCGGCTGCACGAGGTCCTGACCGAGGTCGTACCCGTCCATGGGCGAGGCAACTTTCCAACCTTGGAGATAACCCTGAAGGACATCGTCCAGACCGTGCGCAGCCGGCTGGAGGAGGCAGGCATCCGAGTGCAGGATGTCCGGCTGAACGGCTCCGCGGCTGGCCACGTCTTGGTCAAAGACAACGGCCTGGGTTGCAAAGACCTGGACCTCATCTTTCACGTGGCTCTTCCCACCGAGGCGGAATTTCAGCTGGTCAGAGATGTGGTGCTGTGTTCCCTCCTGAACTTCTTGCCCGAGGGTGTGAACAAGCTCAAGATCAGTCCAGTCACCCTGAAGGAGGCGTACGTCCAGAAACTGGTGAAGGTCTGCACGGACACCGACCGCTGGAGCCTCATCTCCCTCTCCAACAAGAACGGGAGGAACGTGGAGCTGAAGTTCGTCGACTCCATCCGGCGCCAGTTCGAGTTTAGCGTGGACTCTTTCCAGATCATCTTGGACTCATTGCTCTTTTTCTATGACTGCTCCAGTAGCCCCATATCTGAGCACCTCCACCCCACGGTGATCGGGGAGAGTGTGTACGGGGACTTCGAGGAAGCCTTTGACCACCTGCAGAACAGACTAATTGCCACCAAGAACCCCGAAGAGATCCGGGGCGGGGGGCTGCTCAAGTACAGCAACCTCCTGGTGCGGGACTTCCGGCCCACAGACCAGGAAGAAATCAAGACTCTAGAGCGTTACATGTGCTCCAGGTTTTTCATCGACTTCCCGGACATCCTGGAACAGCAGAGGAAGCTGGAGACCTACCTGCAAAACCACTTTGCCGAGGAAGAGAGGAGCAAGTACGACTACCTCATGATCCTCCGCAGGGTCGTGAACGAGAGCACCGTGTGCCTCATGGGGCACGAGCGGAGGCAGACCCTGAACCTCATCTCCCTCCTGGCCTTGCGCGTGCTGGCCGAACAAAACATCATCCCCAACGCCACCAACGTCACCTGCTACTACCAGCCAGCCCCCTACGTCAGTGACGGCAACTTCAACAACTACTACGTTGCCCACACCCCTGTTGCCTACAGCCAGCCGTACCCTACCTGGCTGCCCTGTAACTAGCCTCGAGACCTGAGGGTTTCCACCGTGGGGACCCCAGTAGGGCAAGGGCTCTCAGGTAGGGGAGCCTCCTCCTAGATGTAGGTGTTTGGCTTTTAAAGGGGAACTCAGCTCTGATTCTGCTTGTTTCTTTGTGCACCCATTGGAATGGGTCTACAGGATGTCATGAGCCAGTCCTGAAGGGACCCGTTATTCCAGTGCCACCTTGGAAAGCGCCCCAGGAAGTGGGGCCCATCCACATCTTTCAGAGAGAGACACACACACGTTCCTGTCCCAAACATCCGCATGGGGAGATTTGAGCTCCATGTGCCGATGGAGTCTGGGGCAGTTCCTGGGTAGTGTCTCTCACTCAGGCTAGAGTTGGCTCTGTCGGCCCTCACTTGGGGTGCTCCGCTGTTACATGGAAGTTGAGGTTCTAGTCAATTTTCTTGTACCAATTTTAGCCAGGCAGAAAATGGTGGGTGTGAGCGTGGTCTCGTGGCTACATTTTTGTGTTCGGGGGACCCAGTTGCATATGTTTATTCCCTTTTAGCAGAGCTGAGGATTTCCTTTCATCAGTGAACCAGAGCTGGTAGCTGGAGAATTGAGATCTAGTTGAAAGTGGTTTATGGTTTAGATGCTGTGTTCTCATGAGGCTTTGTGAGATATTGCTGAGGAAAAAAAGAAAAAGAAAAAAAAAAAAGACCTTTGCTTGAAATGTAACTTGAAAATGAAATAAAATGTGGAACATAATGTTAAAGGAGAATTGGGGCAGGGGCGGGGCGGGGCTGGTTGTAAATAGGAAACATGAATGTTCAATTTTTTTTTCCTTAAGGAATTCTTACTGAATGACACTTCCCCCTCCCTTCCTCAGCAGCTTATCACTTTCGCATTGCTCTTCCCAAGACGAAGGACTGTCCAGAGTCCTTGCAGTAACTGACATGAGGGTCTTCCCGGGTTTTACTCGGAAACCTCTTTTGGTCACATTCCAAGGCTGACCAGCCGTTTTCTGGAGTACCTTAGCTGATGATTTGTTTGTTTGTTTGTTTTTGTTCTTTCTTCAAAAAAAAAAAAAAGTGATTTCCCTCTCCAGGCTTTTTTGGACAGCAAACGAATTCAGGAATTTCAGTGGGGCTGAATGACCTGTGGAGTGACCCACCGTTATGGGCAAGAGGGCTCTGGCTGAAACACTGCTTTGAACCCTTGCCTGTGTCCCCACGGTGTGCGCAAGGTGGAGGCTTCGTGCCCAGGGGCTGCCAGGGCACCTTGCCGTCTGATTAATTCTGCTGTGTTCCGGGGAAGAACGGGGTCAGCGAAGAAGGGTCTTCCTTATTCTGGTGGATTTGACCGTACTTGTCTCTGGTCTGCACTTCAGAAGGAAAACAGTGTTAGTCTGCAGGCTAAAGCTCAGTAGATGGGAGAGCGCTGGGCTACTGCCATCCGCAGTGGCTTTGAAAGTCTCAGAGCTCTTAGCAAGCATCCCTCTAGAGCACGGAGGGCAGAGGGACTCAGTACCACCAGCCAGCTTGGCTTATAAAGTGATTTCATCAAATCCACACTCCTGGTTTTTTCCTTTCTTGCGCGGCCATGGAAATCCCCAGCCCTGAGTGATGGCTTCCCTTCCTCCTTGCTTTAAGTGATGAAGTTACTTACAGCTTAGCGGAAACCAGTGGTTTACCTTTTTCTGAAGATGGTATTTTCAGGGTTGTTGGGGTTTTTTTTTTTTCCTTTTTGGAATGTGACGTTTTGGTCCTCTTAAAAGCAGATCGGTCATGACTGAGCCCCGAGGTTTAGCTGGAATCCATGTTGTCCGACACCAGGTGAATAGAAGCCACTTCTGTGGGTGACCAGTTCCTGTTTCCCTGGGAATTACAGCTACTTTGGAATTCACTGGCTTGGAGTCGAGGCCAGTTCTACGCTGAGGGGGGAAGGAGGGCCGCATGCTTCTGGGTTAAAGGGGGGGGGGGTTAACGAAGAGTGAATCCCAGCTTTAAAAATGACATGTTCCTTCGTGACATTAAAAGGCTGCCATTGTGGTCAGATGGCAACGTCTTTGCACACAAGTGACAGATCTGTTTAACCAGAGCTGTGAGATGTGAGGAAGCCATGGACATAAGCACCTGCTAACATGAGTCAGTATTGCTCCTACTAGAAGGCTTGACGGTCAGGGTGACAAGGTTCCAGACAGACATAGGATCAGAGAACCACATCAAGTAATTAAATTTCCCGTTTGCCCTTGGAGTTCTAGTTCTTCCGGCTTCTTCTTCTTTTTTTTTTTTTTTCTTCTATCCGATACTAGTCCTCCTCTGAGGAGGAAGGAAAGCCCAGAAATTGCTAGAAGTTCCCAGCCCCCACCCCCCCTACCCCCGGTTCTCTACCCCCATTGCATGATGACCATCTCGGGACAGTCTACTTACCTGAAGTTCTTGGTCAGCCCAGGCGTTTTTGGAGTTTGAGAGGAGACACATGTTCTAGAACCATCAGGGTAGAAAGCTGCCCCGACCAAAGCTGCACTTCTAAAACACCGCCCTGGTCCACTGGTGTCTCTCTGCCTGCTCTACAAGCCCTTTGCCGGCCTCAGAATAGACCAGGTAACCTTGAATGTCAGGTGTTTGCAGAGTCCGGCTGAAACTGCCTTTCATGCTGCTCACACCAGCACCAGGTTCCCTGAAGTGGTACAGAGGCCAGTGGTTCCTCTTTTCTCGTGTGTGTTGAGTAACATGAAACTTGGCGGTGGCCAGGGGCACTAAAGTTCAAGTACAGATTCTAATATAAATTGAAGCAGCCTCTCTCGCTTCGGGACTCCAAAGTGCTTTCCTGCAAGGACGCAGCTTGTTTTCCTGGCTTGCTGCTTGGAATCCGTCTGAGCAGCGGCAAGATGAGAACAGCACCATTCTGCCTTGTGCTGGCACAAAGGCACGGGGTCTAAACTCCTGGCCTCGGGCTTCATCCTCACCCTTAAGTTTCACTCTGGCAAGAAGACATGACTTCTCACTCCACTTCAACCCCGAAGCTAAGCTCTCGGTCACGAACACCTTCAGATCAGGGTTCCTGCTCACTGCATGTGGGCTGTGTCATGGCCCGCACTTGGGAGCACCTGGTGGTCGGGGAGAGTCCGGCAGGGAAGCTGCTGCATCCTTGCTCTGTGCTAACAGATGTGGTTTGGCGGTTAAGTGCCCCTGCCCCACCCGGTTTGATATTCCCCCTCACCCCCCTGGGATTTGAGTCACTGTGAGCTGTGCGTGAACCCATTTTTTGTGGTGACCCGTTAAGGATCCAGTTGTGGGTGCCCTGAACCTGCTTGTCCTTGATTCAGCCTCCCTGCGAGCACCAGCTGCTCACCTTCCTGGGAGCCCCGCTTTGTTAACTTTGAGAAAGGATGCCACCGGAAGCAACTTCCTGACTTCAGGGGTCCCTCCTTTCCAGTTAACTTGGGGCCCTGGTGCCTTGTTTTAAGACGCACCTTGATTCTGAGCTCAAATGTAGCGATGGTTTATCCACGTGCGGGAAGAGACCCTGCAGCTCACTGGGGCATCCTTTCCTGGGCCTCTGACAGAGGCGTACACTAGGGAGAGCCCTTCGGTGGGGTCCTCTGCAGTCAGGAACTTCCGTCTGCCAGGGTTAGATCCGGATCTAACTGGCTTTAACTGGCAGAGACCAGAATGTCACAGCTGGTTTTGGAACCTATTCCAGTTTAGCCAATCGCACTCAGAGGACCAAGGGAGGTACGTAGGGAGGATGTATTTTTAAAGACCTGGCAACTTTTCAGGATTATTTGTGGAGACTCCCCAAGGTGAGGATCAGGAAAGAAAATGTGTTTTGTTTTGTTTTTGTTGTGTTTTCGTGAGTTCTAAATCTTGTTTACCTATCCCCTTTTCAAAAGTAGTTTCAGTGTAAGCTAAAGAAAGTGCTTGGAGGTTTGCCTGGGCTGGTGAGAGTTGGTACAAATTGTCGTGTGTTTGTATAGGGAGGTGAGAAGACCATTCGCCAAAGAGGAAGTCATTAAATAACATGGATATGTGGGTGTTTTAAAAATCAAGCCATCTGGTCTTTTTTTTTTTTTTTTTTTTAATTAAAAAAAATAGCTGCTTTAGGAAAATTAAAAGTTTTTATCCGGTAATTTCCAGATTAATGCAGATGAAAAGTAAGATACGCACTAGACTAAATTGGAAGCGTTTTGTTAATCCGTATTTGCAGAGCCTTCGAAATGTTAATTTCATAACGATGGCTAAGATGCGTGAGGTTTCCTCTTTGTGATGGTCCCTGACCTCCTTCCGTGATGAAGGTGAACTCACTTGTCAATGCAAACTGTATTAGAAGTTAATGAAATAAAGCTTTGAGTTTGAGAAATAAAGATATATTTAAAAAACCCCAAAACCTTGTCATGCTCATTTCTTTGTGTCTCCTCAATGGTGAACCTGCTTGAGATTTCAGGAAACGTGTTGTATGATGGTGGGGAGTGGGGCAGTTACTGACATTCTCAGCCTTAGATACTTCTCTGAAAGATGGTGCTCTCTCTCGGGAAGAGGTGTGTCTCACCTGAGGGGCCATAAGTCCCTGAATACTGGGGCTCTCCTCCCAGGTCCAAGGCCCAACTAATAACAGAGCTTCTAGGGGTGGGCGCCTGGGTGGCTCAGTCGGTTAAGCGTCCGACTTCGGCTCAAGTCATAGTCTCACCGTTCCCGAGTTCAAGCCCTGCATAAGGCTCTGTGCTGCCAGCTTAGAGCCTGGACCCTGTTTCAGGTTCTGTCTTCCTCTCTGTCTCTGCCCGCTCGTGTTCTGTCTCTCTTGCAAAAATGAATAAACATTAAAAAAATAAACTGTGCTTCATTACCCCAGCACCTCTGCTAACGTCTGCATTAGGTGATACAGTCCTGCAACCTGCCTTCACTGCGTCTTGCTGGATTCAGTGCTAAAGCCTAGGTTCTCTTGAGCTTGACCTTGGCCCCAAACCGAATAAGGGAACCGAAATAACTTCAGCTGCACTATATACAACAGCCACCATGGTTTCTTCATGTTTAAAAAAAAGTACAGAAGTGAACAGTGGTGTTTGAGTGGTAGGTGTTTGGGGGGGAGGGTACTGTAGACCTTGCTTGCTAGCCAGCCTCCTGGATCCTCTGAGCCCGTTCACAACCCGTCTGCACCCCCTTCTATGGCTTCTGTGCTGAGTGTGACTCCCACAGTCTCTAAGTATCCTCAGAAAACATCCGTCTTTGTGTAAAATCCTTCCCCCCCCCCCCCCCCCACCTTGTCTTCAACTCTCTTCTTGCACCTCCTCCTTAAACCTCTCCGTCTGAGGATAAGCATTCTCTGGGGCCTGGGGTGTGTGAAGTCCATTCTGATCACTTGTCTGGAGCATATGTTCAGTGCTCCTCCCCGGAAGCCCCGACTGCCAGCCCGCACCATCAGCGCTACCTCTGCACCCGCCTGCACGGGCTGCACTTCTCCCCGCCCCATCACAAGAGTTGAGATCAATATTTTCCTGTCCTAGCTTTGCCTAAGAGCCAACTGCAGGCTCCTGCCCCACCTTGGCCGCGCCGTGTGCTCCTTTTGAAATATCCCTCCGCTTACTGCCTTGAGCTCTTGCCTGGGCCGCCTGGGCCACTTCACGTGTGTTGTCACTTGTCTCCCCTCCATCCCTCTTCACTCATCCAAGGGCTCTAACACAGAGGTGTCTGTGCCCCTCCCATACATTCAGACCCTGTGCAAGGGTCAATGTCAGGCTTAAAAACGTGAGCTTGTGCGATCGGCCCCAGCCTGCCTTCCCAGCCCCTCACCTCCTCTCCTAAGTGGGCCTTCTTCAGGCCCCGGCACACAGCCCCGCCCATGCAGCCCTGCCACGCAGTGGGCCTCTCAGGGCTCTGCTGGACAGTCACACCTCCGGCTTCCCCCCGACCTGCTGTTTCTGTTAGCACACCCACAAGGCCACACTGCGCCTCCGCCTCCGTGTACATGGTGAACACCTGTGTGTTTCACTCCCCCTCCCCCACGCGACTGCCGCCCACACAGCTGGCCAGAGGTCCGGTGCCTCAAATGTTGAACCCAGTGTTGTCATCCCTGGAGAACTTGGACTTGGGCCACTGGCAGCGACGAGGCTGAGTCCTGGATATTAACTGGATGTGTTGTAATGCCTCCTTCTAGTGCCAGAAAACACCGTAGTCCAAGGCATTGTCCGGACCAATATTTACACGCAGGGAGAGCACCTTGTGTGGGAAGTGGCAGTGCTCAGTTCCCCGGAATAAGCAGTCATGTCCTGGACACGGCAACACTATTGATCGTGAGCGCTGGACCTCCTGAGCAAGGTCAACACTTAGGGCTGCAATCTTAGCCTCTGCTCTGTCCTCCCTACCTGCCCAGCCCCCTCATGCCCAGACAGATCTTCCCTTCTGGGCCTTTAGTAGAGTGGCCTCCGAGTGTGGATTGGCCAGCGCTGGAGTGCTGCTGCTCACATTGCTACCTCATACACCCAGGATTCTGGAAGTATCTTTTCAACTAGTGTGGAGTTTTTCTCCTTCACTGCTAGTAGTGGCTTGGAGTGGGGATGCTAATAACATACTTGCTGTAATTTGGGATTCCTATCTGTTGGAAGATGCTAAGAAGCACTCACAGAACCGGAGAGGGTTTACCAAACAACCTTCGGGAGAAGCAAAGGCCAAGGCTTTGGCGTGACACGCCCTCTACGACCCTACCCAGGGCTGCAACTTCCTTCTTTCCAGAGGCCTTCGGTTCCTTGTGCACCGAGAATGGAGAATGGAGGGGCAAGGCGGGGGTGGAGCCCGGTCTGCGACATGGCGGGAAGCTGGCTGGCCCCATGCTGAGTGCCCGGTCCACCACCCAGCCCTGCCCAGAAGCTGAGGGGGATGGAGAGGTGGGCGCACTCCTGCCCTGACAAGGCAGCAGGACCAGGCCCAGTGCCAGCTTCTTGCCTCCGGGCCCCATGCTTGCTTCTGTTCCGAGGGGCTGTGTCCCTGGTCCGGGGGTATGTGCCATCTAGAACAATGTGCTGGCCCAGCAGATGCGCCGCATGTGTCTTGGCCACTCGACTGGTATCCCTCTCAAGCAGATTCCTATGACTGCTGCCAAAAAGACAGGGAAGGCGGGCGTGTCAGGAGGCTTTGAGTCATGTCTGTGCAGGTGGCCCTTCACCTGGCTCGGAGCCATCTGCCCCTGTCCTGGCCATGACTGCGCCACAGGTCTACTGACACCACTAGTCACCACTCAGGCTGCTTTTTACCGTAGGA